AAAAAAAAAAAAAAAAGGTCACACTCTAATATTTCATTGAGCCACCTTTAGCTTTAATTATGGCATCCATTCACCATGGATTTGTTTGGATACGTTTTTGTAATGTCACAAGATTTATTTCCATCCAGTGTTGCATTCATTTTTCACCATTGATGATGGTAGAGTCTGACCTTCTCCAGCACATCCCAAAGATTCTCAATAGACTCTGCGGAGCCAGTCCATGTGTGAAAATGATGTCTCATGCTCCCTGAACCACTCTTTCACAATAAGAGCCTGATGAATCCTGGTGTCATCTTGGAATATGGCCGTGCCATTAGGGAAGAAACAATTATTGATGGAATAACCTGGTCGTTCAGTATATTCAGGTAGTCGGCTGACCTCATTTTTGAGCACAAACTGTTGCTGAACCTGGACCTGAACACCTGCAGCAACCCCACATCACAGCACTGCCCCTACAGGCTTGTACTGCAGGCACTAGATGTGATGGGTCCATCACTCTGGAACAGGGTCAGTCTGGACTCATCAGACCACATGAGCTTCTTTCATTGCTCCAGAGTCCAATTTTTATGCTCACTAGSAAGCTGAAGCCTTTTTTTCCCCAGTTAGCCAATGATTTGAGCCTTCTCAAACAGACTGACATCTTTTTCACCATCACAGGATGTGTCTTTCCACAAACGAGAAGAAACTGTACGCATTAGTACCTATTTGCGTAGTTAAATCCAGGTGGCAACATTTTTTTTTGGGCCAGGCAGTGTATAAATTGTTGGCCAGGCAGTGTATAAATTGTTGGCCAGGCAGTGTATAAATTGTTGAAACTGCACAAAAATTGTAGAAGGAGATACGTGCAGAAAAAAAGTATGGAAGAAAAATGGATTTTCACACAGATATGTTGGTGAGGATGAACACGTTACTGTGAATTTTGTAGCTTTCATGTTTGCGGAATGGATGGATGTAAAGTTCTAATAAGTGGATTTAATGATTAATGTGACTGAACATATGAAAACTACACTTTATGTGTGGTTAAATCGGGTGATTTAAACCAGGTGAGAAGCTGGTTCCTGTCAGTAATTTTGTTCATCTGTAAAACRTCCGGACAGAAACAGTCAGGTCTCAGTTTAAAGAGGTTTGTCTTCTGATGCGATTTGAAATTGCAAATAATTTCTTTATGCATAGAGCTCCGCTGTCTGTGCTGTATTTACACAAGCAAAGAGTGAAGCTGCACATGCAAAGGGCGGCATGACCAGTAGAGCCGGATTTGCACGTCAGTGAGTCAGACAAAAAGACTTTGTACTAAGTCTACCAAGACAGTCTGCAACCAGTAGCGCTACATACAGGATTTAGCTGCTACAGTTAGAAAACAACAAACTAATTGATGGGTGGCAGTCAGTTAAACGGATACAAGAAGGAATTAAATGAAAGGATCAGGAGATACTATAAAGAAACTCAAAATGAAATTTTATTTGTCCTAAATCTTGTTTGTGCGCTTTAAAGAGATCCCTGATTAGTTGTAACGTTAGACTTTATTTGATAAGCATATTTTAAATGTAAAATAAAGACTGTAAAAATACTGTAGGCTGTTTAGTTTTGTACATTTTTAGAAATATATTTTAACACGGACTGAGCCATTTTATTTACACACAAAGCATTCTGGGTAAATGATGACGCGGATAGGTCCTCGGTGTGAGCGAGCTATATCCACCCTGAAGGTTAATCTTGGACAATATCTGATGATCGATTCTTTTAAATGAAACCAGAGCATTGACAGAGAGGAGAAGTGTGGATGGAGGACAACAGAGCTGCTTCATGGAAGAAGAACCTCAGTTTTGCCTGTTAGCCTTCACGCTAGCGCCGACGCTATATYRCCTTATATGTATTAGCTCGGTGCTAGCGCGACAAACAAGCTAAACTGAGGTCCTCCATCCATATTTTCAGTTGCAGGCTGAGTCATTTTTGTGTTCCCCTCTCTGTCATGTGGATGAAGGACCTCAGTGACGAGAGGAGAATGTGTAGCGCTGAGCTAATACATACAGTATATATATTTATATACCTAATTTCCCTCTGGGATCAACAAAGTATTTTTGAATTGAATTGAATATATGGTGACAGCTTCGGGGCTAACGCTAAAGCTAACAGGCTAAGCTGAGGCTCAGTTACAGACTGAGTCATTTCTACCTTCTCCTCTCTGTCAACGCTCTCTGGTTTCTTTTAAAAGAGCCAATCATCAGATATTGTCCAAGATTAACCTTCAGGGTGGATATAGCTCGCTCACACCGAGGACCTATCCACGTCATCATTTACCCAGAATGCTTTGTGTGTAAATAAAATGGCTCACCCGTTGTTACAAATAATCGGGGATCCCTTAAACTTCTCCCAAACTTTCACTGGCTTTATGGTAAAATTATCCCTGTTTGTTTGACTGCTGAACTATAATAATACTGCACATTCATGTTTATCCTGGCTGAAAGGTATTTTCTTTACTTTTATAATATGCACACATAACAAACACTTCTAAGATTTGCATACRTGCACGAGGTGAGCAGAATTTACAAAGTTTATTAAAATGTATAACTCACTTTAAACTTAAGTTGATTTGTATCTTTATTAAAAGTTCAGGTTATAAATTAGTGTGTGTGCGTGTTTATTTATTTATTTATTTTGTTCTGCAGTATAGACACTGATGGCACCATGACAGTGGACTGGACTGAATGGAGGGAGCACTTCCTGTTTAACCCGGCCACCAGCCTGCAGGAGATCATCCGCTACTGGAAACACTCCACGGTAAGGAAGGAGGGTGCAAGTCTTCAAAATGTGCATTTCCTGCGTACACACCGTGTGAATGCTAGCTGAGAAGGTTTAATAGCAAAACTGTGAAAGTGAGTTCAATTTGAACAGCTGACATTTGATGTAAGTAAAAAAAAAAAAGAAAAATCAGTTGAAAAAAATTAGCAAAAATGTATAAAAACAGAGCAGAAATGTAGCTAAAAGACAGAAACAAGATGGATTTACCAAACGTAATAAAAGGACAGTAAAAAAGCTCACCCTGGCAGAGAAACTGAAAAAGAAAGTACAAAAAAGTTGAATTTTGTGATAAAATAAAAGCTGAAATGAGCTGAAAACAGTTAAAAGTAGCGTAGAAGGCAGAAAACAGCCTAAATTAGCATGAAAAGCAGAAAGAAGCACAAAAAGTTGCATGGTAATAGCAGAAAGCAGCAGAAATATAGTTTAGTTTTAGTTTTTTCATTTCTTTAAAACAACATAAGTTCAACAACAAACAAAAATACAAATCAAATTAAATGAAAGGTAGCAGAAGAAGAAAAACTCTTATTACATCTGCCCCTTTTTCTCAAATAAATAAAATCAAAATGATCTACAGTTTACAAAAAAGAAAAGTTTAACTCCTTGAACAACTATTCATACGTTTACATATTTCTCCAGCAAATTAACCTTTATTATTCTCTTAAATATACATATTGATCTGGCATTTTTAATGTCATCTTCCAGATTTTTCCATAATTTAATTCCCTGGACTGAAGGACTCCGTTCCTTTTGAACTGGTTCTAACTTTAGGTCTCACAAACATTTCTATCCCCTTGAGATTATAACAACTCTCTCTTTTAATGAAGTGTAATTGGATGTTTGAAGGTAATGTAAAATTAAAAATAATTTTACATTAAAAATAGCTGAAATAGCAGAAAAAAACTAAAATTGGGGTTGGGGGCAGCCAAAGAAGTCAAAAATTAACAGTAAGAAGCARAACCAGGGTAAAAGGTAAAAAGTGCAGGAAAGATTTATAAACATTTTGAAGGGTTTAAAGGATGTAGAAGAGAGCTCCATTCATTTTCAATGAGAAAAAAGTGGCAGATAAAGCTAAATACCTGAAAAAGTAATTGTTGAAACAGCGAAAGTCATAGCCAGAATGTTCTGAAGGAGCTGAACATTTTGATATATGAAATGCTGAAATGACAAAAATAAATAAATAAATAAATAAAAACCTGGAACAAGTTGTGTGATGAAAAAAATTGAAGTGTAAAGACAACCGAACAAGCTGATGAAGGATTTGAGACTTTTGTCAGCAAATCAGCTCCTCTGCGTCAACAAGTTGGATTCATTCATGTCAGAAAAACACCATGATGTGTTAAAAGGARGAAACTGAAGAGTTTATTATTCTAAATTTTTGCAGCTTTTTAACGTAATAAACCTTTAAAAACTGTGCTTCAGSTGCATGCCAGAAATAGAGCCTTTCTCTGTCTCAGGCTAATCTGTGACGTTTGCTAACACTGTTCCCCGGCTCAGCCTCGGTGGATAAATGACCTTGTGGTTTCTAAACTCAGCCGAGACGAGCTAATTTGAGCCCGATTAGCTCGTCACTGGGATTTGGAAGGGATGAGGCGAAAGGAAGCAAGWTGATTGCAGAGGAGCTGAGATGAGAAGCTGATGGCAGGTAGAACTTCCCATCACCTCCAGTGTTCGAGCTGCAGGTGGCTGCTCGGTCTGGAAACAGCGTCTAGACCCGTGCGGCAGATCTTTGTGAGTTTATCGCACCGGGACCGTTCTGCAGTCTGAACAGAGGCTTTTGGGCGGCCATGGCTCTGCTGCAGCCTCAGCAGCAACAAGCAAACTGGTTTTTCTTAGAACTTGAAGACGATGGGGGGCTCTACGAGTTGGAGGTTGATATGGTAGGTTGAACAGAATGTGCTGGCGATGGCTTGGGTTCAGCSTTAGCATCGTGCTAATGGGAGACTTGGTGAGGGAAAAWAAMCTGAAACTGTTCTGAGAAACAGCTATATTAGTTTTTCACAAACAASTGATGTTTGTTGGGTTTAAAAATATACAGTAGAAGACCATTTATTAAGCAAATTATTAGGGATGCACGATATATCGGCATTAATATCAGTATCGGCCAATATTGGTCATTTTTTAGAATATCTGTATCAGTCCGATATGTAAAACTGGGCCGATATTAATGTCCGATATTGATTCCCCACTTTTTCGCTTTGTGTTTCTGTTTTGGGAGAGGAGATGTTTGGTTGAGCTGCATCCTTTTGATCATGGTAGTGATACTGATGCTGCGCAGCCAGGAATAACTCAAGTAGGGAGCCATGTCAGAGGTCTGGTCATTTATTTACGGTATCAAAAAAAGTGTTTTTGTGGGTATAAGTATAATATAATGTGTGTGTGTGTGTAATATCAGTAAATATCAGTTATCGGCCATAAAAGCAATAATTATATCGGATATCAATATCGGCTGAAATTTTCGTATTGGTGCATCCCTACAAACTAGCGTTTTGTTTTTATTTAATGTTAATTTATAKTAAGGCCCTGTCACACTCCGTTTTAGACAACTTATGCCAACTTGTGAAAATTTTAAAGACATCTACGTTGAAGATGGATTTAAAAAATGAACTGGAAGCCTCTTTTAGGTGTGTACATACTGTAATGCAAATAAATGGATCAAGTAACTTCTTTTAGCAATTTAGACGTAAAAAAAATTATAAGTTGTCTAAAACGTTGTAAGGCCCTGTCACACTATAACATTTTAGACAACATATACCAACTTATGAAAAGTTTGGAGACATCTACGTTAAAGAGAAATTTTTAAAAAATTCAACTGGAAGATATTATAGGCATTTACATACTGTAATGCTAACTAATTCATCAAATATCTAACTTTTATTAGTCAYTTTTAGTGGAAAATAACATTTCATAAGTTACCATAAGTTGTCTGAAACATTATAGTGTGACAGGGCCTTCACACAAAAAGGAGACAAAATTAACAGTTTTGTTTAAAGTTGTCCAGACCATGTTTTTGATGCTTTTCATCGAGCATAAAATAAGAAAGAAAAACAATTTAGGTGTAAATTTGATGGCGCTCACCAGTGGCGTGCAGTGATGTAATGAGTGCCGCATCACTGATCTGTACTTATGTGAGGTTTTGGATGAGGAAGTGCGTTCTGTCCTGTGAGGCATTAGGCTCAAGGTGAAGCTTTGCTGACTCCTCACAGGGTTCCTGCGGAGCCTTAAAAAGTCTTACAAGGCATTGAATTCGTCAATCCAAAAATAAGGCCTTAGTTATTCTTTAGAATGTCTTAAATCAAATTTTCAGAGGTCTTAAATGTTAACACATTGTAATTGTGATTTGTCCTAAAATAAAATAATTGGTAACATTTATTTATTTATTTTTTACCGTGGCAAATTTTTTTTCTTTTTGTTGTTAGATTAAACATTTGTGTGAAATTGTTGCTAACTAGGTTTTTTATTTTCACTTGTGTTTATTGTGTAATTGGTCTTAATTTTTTTTAAGTGGCATTAAAGAGGTCAGTCTTAAATTTAACTTTCCTTAAGCTGAAGGAACCCTGCCTCAGAATTTTGCAATTTTATTTTTACTATTTAAATGATCACATCTCCTTAATCTTTTTCTTAATTTGACTCCAGATGAGAGCATGAAGCAAATATAAAAGAATTAACTGACTGAATGTGCCGTTTGTAGGTTCTGGACATTGGTGACAGCCTCACCATCCCAGACGAGTTCACAGAGGAGGAGAAGACGACRGGTGTGTGGTGGAGGCAGCTGGCAGCGGGGGCCATGGCGGGTGCTGTGTCSCGCACAGGGACCGCCCCGCTGGACAGAATGAAGGTCTTCATGCAGGTGGGGCAGCATTTATTTTACCCTTTTTTTTTTTTTTTTAAATCTTCGGCTTTATGCAGGTGTCCTTTATGGTCCAGTTGTTACAGATTTCCTCAATCTATTAGAATGTTTAGAAGGGTTCCAAATTTGGACTTAGTTTGTAATTTGTGTTTGGTTCGGTTTGCTGTTTTTCTTTTTCAAAATAAAACAAATAATCTAGTGTTTTTTTTTTCTTTTTTAGCCTTTTTTTGTTTTGAAGCTTAATTAGAAAAATGACAATTGCAAAATGGGAAAAGGCTGCATTTTCTTTTTCGTTTTAATAACTAATGCAAAGACAACCTTTATATTTTGTTAGTGCACCATTTGTTACTTTTTGGCAGAATCAGAAATCATCAAGGCATGAACGATTTCATGTTTTCCCTTCAGAATCTGCCTTTTTAGAAGAAGTCGATGCATCTTGAGAGCTTTTTTTTTGCTCTAGTATTCAAAATTATGCAGAATCAGATTTCAGTGCAGCTGTTACCAATATGTTAGGATTAGATTCCATTTTTTTAGCAGTCTTCCAGCTGTAAATTCATATTCTTCAACAACTTCCATCGTTTCCTCTATTGCCACATATTAAAACAAAAAACGTATTTTACTTTGGATATAAATAGCTAAAGCAAAAATCAAACAGTTTGATTTAGCATTTTTACATTTAGGATTTGAAAATGGGAAAAACAAAGTAACAACATGGTTGTTTTCTTTTTGCAATTTTATTTTGAAAAGGAAAAAAACCAAAGAACGAACCATATATGGATTATTTGTAGTATCTTTTGATTTTTTTGTGGTTTTTTTTTATTAAAAGTTGCATTTTATCTGCTGCTTGAAAGAGATTTTCCTGTAAAAGTTGACTGAATGATACAAATGGTTTATTATTATTTTTTTTATTGTTTTCAGGTTCATGCTTCTAAGAGCAACAAAATCAGCCTGGTGGGTGGTTTTAAGCAAATGTTAAAGGAAGGAGGGGTGACATCTTTGTGGAGAGGAAATGGTGTTAATGTCCTTAAGATTGCTCCCGAGACGGCTATTAAATTCATGGCTTATGAACAGGTGAAAAATACTTTACACTCCTCTGAACTGGTTTGTTTTAGCCGACTCATGTTCAGCACTCATAATATTCTGCTGTCTTTTATTGTGTCTGTGTCTCATCAGTATAAGAAGCTGCTGTCCAGTGAACCAGGGAAAATCCAGACCCATGAGAGGTTCATGGCAGGATCGCTGGCTGGAGCCACAGCGCAAACTGCCATTTACCCCATGGAGGTGAGCAGAGGTGTAGCTTCTACATGTAACAAAACACTTAAATGCCACTTAAACCAACAATTCATCTCTATTATTTCACTCATTTTAATCTGAAAAGTGCAAATCCTCATTTGTTTCACATTTAGCTGCAAAATATGGCGTGATATGGGGCCAAAATTAAGAYTACTGCATAACTGAGAGGCCGACACTGGCAAATGAGAAGGAGACTATTCATTTGTGTTAGCATCGGAGAGACTAGCAACTAGCATGGATAAGCTGGCGTTAGCATTGGAGAAGCTAGCAACTAGCATGGATAAGCTGGCGTTAGCATTGGAGAGGCTAGCGACTAGCTTGGATAAGCTGGCGTTAGCATTGGAGAAGCTAGCGACTAGCATGGATAAACGGCATTAGCATTGGAGAGCCTAGCGACTAGCATGGATAAGCTGGCATTAGCATTGGAGAAGCTAGCGACTAGCATGGATAAACGGCATTAGCATTGGAGAGACTAGAGACTAGCATGGTTAAGCTGGCGTTCGCATTGGAGAGGCTAGTGACTAGCATGGATCAGTTGGTGTTAGCATTGGAGAGGCTAGAGACTAGCATGGTTAAGCTGGCGTTAGCATTGGAGAGGCTAGTGACTAGCATGGATCAGTTGGTGTTAGCATTGGAGAGGCTAGAGACTAGCATGGATAAGCTGGCATTAGCATTGGAGAGGCTAGAGACTAGCATGCCTAGGCTGTTCACCTACTTTATTAGACACAAACGTTTTTGAATAAAGTAAACTTTCTCAACAAAAATGGTTGACATATAAAACCTATAAGCAACATGCACCGACGGGTGTTCTTTAGACAGAATTTACTGTTCAACATAACGTCAAGCATAAATATCAAACATAAAACACAACTGTGAAGCCGGCAGCTTTAGTTACCATCTGAATTAGCAGCTACGTTTGCCCTTGTCTATTGGTTGACGGCAGTGTTTTTTATTATCTTTAGCTGAATTATGAGAAAAGTCAGAAATATTAAGTTGGGGCTTTTTAGAGCAAGTTTAGCTTTTAGAGAAAATTTTCTTTATTCAAAAAAGTTTGTGTTTAATAAAGTAGGTGAGCAGCCTAGGCATGCTAGTTGCAAGCCTCTTTGATGCTAACACCAGCTTATCCATGCTAGTTGCTAGCCTCTCCAATGCTAACACAAACGAATAGTCTCCTCATTTGCCAGCACCAGCCTCTGAGTTACCAGTTCTGGCCTATCATTATTCAGATCAATAGCTGGCTTAGGAATAGAGTTAGCCTCCTGCTACAAGGATGTAGCAACCGCTGGTTGCACAGTACTCTTAATTTTGGCCCTCATACCGCMCMATAGCAAACATCCTYAGTGCAGAGTGCARCTCGATCACGTCATCTMTAAAGATGCAGCCCTGAGATTACTGAAACAGACATCTTATTGTATACTCAAAAAATTAGCATAAATTAGTTAATGATCTTTCATTTGGATAAAACCAAGCATAGTACTGGTAACTTGTTAGTAAACAAATTAAAAGCACTTCAAAAGGAATCTAAAACCAGTWAAAATGGCACGAAGGCTCACAATAGAATAGCAGTTTGTCGGTAAGAGCTTGATCTCATCTTTTGTCTTTTCAGGTGATGAAAACCCGTCTGACGTTGAGGAAAACTGGACAATACTCAGGAATGTTTGACTGTGCCAAGAAAATCCTGAAGCGTGAGGGGGTAAAGGCATTCTATAAGGGCTACATTCCCAATATTCTGGGCATCATCCCCTACGCTGGGATCGATCTGGCAGTCTACGAGGTACATTGTTGTAAATGGTTTAAAATGTTCTTTTTGTCAAACATGATACTGCTACACTGATGCTCTTTGTGCTAATTGTTTTTTAATTAGAGTTTAAAAAACCTCTGGCTGTCTAAATACGCTAAAGATACAGCGAACCCAGGCGTTCTGGTGCTGCTGGGTTGTGGTACCATCTCCAGCACCTGTGGCCAGCTGGCGAGCTACCCTCTGGCACTGATCCGTACCCGCATGCAGGCACAAGGTAAATGAAATCTAATCTGCTCATTAAAGCTAATTTTCAAATGTTGTATATTATATGGTTTTACCAAGAGGTGATGCAATATTTAAAACAAAGCAGGAAATAAAAGTCAATCAGAAACACAACATTTGCTGTTTTACATCAGTACAGAGTTTGCAGTGTATATTATGCAAAATCGACTACTTTGAGCTTCATATCATGTTATAATGTCATTCCCTCATCAAAAACATACCCAGAGTGTTGCTTTGACTCATTCATGCACGTTTGATAAATCCTTGTATCTCCTGTGGTGGCCATGTGGAGCTGTCTAAACGCTTTCTGGTACAAAGCTCCGCCTACTTGTACAAAGCTCCTCCCTGGATCTGCAGTTGAGACCTGCACCCCCATGCTTGGGATTAATATCAAAAATTATGGATTTTGAGGCTCATTATACAGGTAAATGTCTGAAGGGGTTGACATGTATGCAGTGTGCCTGGAAAATACAAAATACCCACTTTTTAACATTAAATTCAATGACCTTTCAAGGACTTTCCAGGACCAATTTYCTCAAATTCAAAGACTGTGTGTGATTGTCTTTACCTACTGCTACCACTGAATTTGTTTTCAATAAATGATTTTAATACAATGTAAATTCAATTTAAAAAAAACAATGGCATAGAAGCTGTTGGGTCAGAACCAATGAAAGAAAGTGGATTGAACGTAAAGCCTAAATTCATWTCCACAACACATGGACGGACTTGACTCTGACTCAATGTGACTGGCAATTCATCAGTTCACCACAGCATTTCTACAGCTTAAGGGAAGTTAAATTTAAGACTTTTTWAATGCCACCTGACATGAAATTTAAGATTAAATTCACAATAAACACAAATGGGAAAATAAACAGCGAAACTTTCACCCAAACGTTTATTTTAACACAAAACAACTAGCTGTAAGAGGCAGTCAGTAAATGATTTTAAAAAACAAATAGCTACCAATTATTTTAACATTTGAGATGAATTACAATCGTCCTACTTACAACATGTTAACATTTGTAAGACCTCTGGAATACTGAATTAAGACATTTTAATACTAATTAAGGGCTTATATTCGGATTGATGAATTCAATGCCTTTTAAGACTTTAAGGATCTGCGGGAACCCTGCACCAGCGAGAAGACTGCATGCACCAATAAACGTGTTGTTACACATGTTAACTATGAAATACAAGGTTGCAGTGCAGAACAAAGAAAAGATAATGACACATTGACAGCTGTCGTCGTCAATGTAAAGTTTCAAACCCAAAAACCCTTGAAGGACCGGTGTCGTTTATGCCTGTTTTCAAAAACTTTCTAGGGTCTTGAACTTATTCACAAACTTTTAAGGATTTGAAGGACCCATGGGAACTATGTAAATATGTTTTATAGTTTAGTTCAGAGATTCTTAACCTATGGGCTGCGAGCGCCACCTTGAGGGCCTCAAAAGAACAGCAGTTTTTAACTTTGGGCCACAAAGGGCTGTGGGACCGCATTGATTTTTGAATAA